GCCCAGGCAGGCGGCGGCCCCGACCCGGAAGCCTCGCCGGCTTCCCTCGCGCCGCACCTGAGCGGGCTGGGCTGGCCACAGGTGAAGCGGCTGGACGCGCTCCTGAGCGAGCCGATTCCCATTCACGGGCGAGGCAACTTCCCCACGCTGAGCGTGCAGCCCCGGCAGATCGTGCAGGTGAGAGGGCGCTAGGTGGGGGGCCTGGGGTCTCTATCCTGAGGCCCTCGTGGCCGCAAGGACCCCGGAGTCTGTTCGATTCGCTGGACAGCTAGGGAAAACGAGGCTCAGAGAGGGACAGGGGCCGGAACAAAATTGCATAGCATTGATGGCAGGTAGACCATATCCCCTTCCCCCTGCACCTCATGGTCCCTCCCCACTTGCTTTCCCTTCCGCCGCCCCTGGGGAGCCCTGATTCCCCTCGGACTATTCACCCAGGCCGTGGCTTGGAGAGGGGAGCAGAATGAGGAAAGACTCGGCAGTTGGGGAAGAACAGTCCTGCCTGGAAGGACAAAAGATGCCAGGCAGCTCTGGGAGGGTAGGTGTGCATTGTTGGGTTCAAAATAGTTCTTCTCATCCCCAAATCGTCATTCCTGGGCCTCACTCCCACTCCTTCCCTGGCTCAAGGTTCTGGGGGCAGACTGTCCTGTGCTCCCACAGCCCTTTGTTCAAGAGCCCCCTAGCTACTACCAGGAAAAGCCTAGAAATCCTGAGAAGGACTCCCTCTCAGCTGGATTGTAGCAGGAAAAGATTAAGCACCAGGCCAGCCCTGATGCCTGAATGCTGGAAGGCAACCTCAGGTGTCCAGGTTAGGTGTTTCTTCCCCTTCCCATGATTGGAAATGAAGGTCAGCACAGATCCCAAGCCCCATTTCTGTCCTGAGGAGCAGAAGAAGAGAATTCTGGCAATCCCTCTCCTCTTCCTTAGACTCCCTCTTCCCTTTACCTGACACCCTAAAATTGCTCTTTCATCTGTTTAGTCCAGGCATTGTCATGCTCTGAAATAGCAGAATATGGTAATTGTTGTACCCATTTTAAACTGGGGAAGCTGAGGCCCCAAGAGGAGCAGTGAGCCACCTAAGACTACCTAAAGAAATGAAAAGCAAACCCAGAGAATCTGGAGTCTTTCCAGGAGCCACTGCTGCAAGTTCAAGGTGTTTCCACCCCTTCCCCAGATCCCAAGACTCAACTTCTAGGTCCATGGGATGTCTTCTTATAAGAAGAAACCAGAAAATCAGCCACAATTCCTGCACATTCCTACCAGAAATGGACTTTCTTTCTGGGGTAGTAGCTGACAAGTTAGGTGAAGCCTTAGCTTCCACAGAAGGGGAGGGGTGCTCACTGGGGGATTTACCTTGCCCTCCCTCCTGAGGAATGGGAGGGAGTGGGAGCAGATTCTCCAGAGCTGACTCACCCACAGTCCAGTGGCGCCTCACAGAGGCATTCCTCTGCTGCCCCGCTGTCATGGGGTAATTAGGAAACCAGTTGAGGCTTTTCTCCCCAAGACAGTCAGGTCAATCTTGAGGCCCCAACTGCTGTACCTCCAGGACTGTTGCTTCAGGAATGGGGGAGAGAGTTGAGCCCAGTGTGGCAGCTCCCCTCTGCAGGGACAAGGGGTGCCCTGGAGGGGAAGTACCAATATGGTCCAAACTGCCTTTACAGCTAGGGAAGCTGAGGCCCCAAGAGGAGCAGTGAGCTGCCTAATACCATATTCTGCTATTTGAGAGCATGGCAGTGCCTGGACTAAACAGTGCCTGCTCTGTGCCAAGCCCTCTTTGGGACACTAGGGGGCATAGATATGACTGGGACCCAGACTCCCTGCTTTCTAGGTCTCCCAGCCAGGTCGGGGAGACTGCAGATCAATAGGAGCTGGCTTTACAATGTGATAATAGTACAATGTCCTCCTAGACAAGGGTCAGCAGCATCACAGAACACGGAGTTGCCTGCTGTGGTGAGGACAGCAGCAGAGACCAGAGCTGGACTGGGAGGTTGGACACCTGCCTTTAGGACCTGGGCTGTTGTCTGTTCCCTCTGCTGGGTCCAGTGTCCCCATCTGTTCAGTGGGGACAGGTTGGATTCTTCTCCAACACCCTTTCTGGCTCTGGAATCCAAAGGGAACAGGATTCCCTTCACCTGGCCTGTACAATTGCCTCCACAGGGAAGGAAGCCCATCTCCTAGAAGGAATCTGCAGCTGGCAGCTTCACAAGCTGTTGAGAAGTATGTGGTGGGGGTGCTGGTTATTGACTTTGGGCCTCTTACAGTGCTGAGTTGTCCCACAGTTCAAGAATTGAAATCCTTCTTCCTCTTTACCCCACAAGGTTTTGCCTGTAGCAGCAATCTGAGCAACTAGAGATGCTGTTCTTGTTTGTACCTGGGCTAGGGAGCCCCCACTCTTTTGTAGGAAACCCCCTGGCCTCTGGGAGGACTGGCTCTAATTAAGTTCAGCCATTTATTTTCTGTGTGACCTTGATAAGTCCTTTGCCCAAGGTCACAATTTTATCTCTCCAGCTGCATCCAAAGGATTTGCATTAGGTAGCTCTGAATTTGAGTTTTATAAGCCAGCTGGCTGGCAGGTCCTATAGATCTCAGCAGTAGTTCTAGGGACGGCCTTAACACAGGAGAAAGGAGGGCACAGCCACTGCCCCCTCCATGGCTGGAAAGTCTGATTCAGGAGGCCCCAAGCTGCCCTGCAGCCCTTGGGTGTGGCAGTATCTGGGGACTGTCTGCCAAACTGGCTGAAGTCACCTGGGAAAGAGACAACAGCCTTTGGCTGGCTGACACAGCCAGCCCCATGGCCTGACGCAGGCGTTTTAACAAGTGTACTGCTACCTACTCACCAGACCAGATGCCATGCCCTGGGGTGGGCATCAGCCTGAGAGCAGGAGCTGGCTCTGAGTAAGGCTTAGTCAGCTCTAATGGGACTTGGGAAGGGGCTGGTCAGCTCTGCAGGCCTGACCAGGGTCTTTGGGACAAGATCTTGGGTCCATTTCTCTCCTTGGTCTGCACGGACACAGCTGCCAGGGTGTGGGTTAGAAGTCCCACAGGCAGGACTGCAGCAACTGGCTCCTTACCTCCAGCCTCCCCTGTCTGTCTGGCCAAGGCATTCCCCAACCTCCACCTTCCTGTTCCCTAACTATTCTGGCTCTGGGCTTCAGTGACTGGAAGCTTTGGCCTCATTTCAATATTTTGAGAGGGAGGGAGAATTAGAACCCTAGTTTCTGGCCTCTGCTCCCTCTGAACCCTGGAATAGTAATGTGGTAGAAAGAAGATAGACTTTGGAGTCAGTCATACCTGGATTTGAGGTGCCTCTGCATGATCTTGGGCAGGTGACTTCACTCCTGTGAGCCTCAGTGTCCTCATCTATAACTTGGAGATCCTAAAGGCCTATCTCCTATAGGTTCTGGTGAGGTTATTTTGATGGCCAGTTGCTCACCCTCCATAGCTGTGACGATACCTTCCTGTAGTCAAGGTCCTCCTCCCAGAAGCCTTCCTGGAGGGAGCCGCCCGCCTCAGATTGCCCCACTGCATCTTGCCTCCTCAGCATTTAGGTGCATTCTTTGCAGTAATTCCCTGGGAGGTGAGAAGGGCAGCCCCTCCACAGGTGCTGACTTGGCAGCAAGGGTTGCAGAATCACTCGGGGCAGGAATGCTGCCTGGTCACTTTCAGGACAGTGTGTGAAGTACTCTGGGTTGCTGAGTGTCCAGCCCAGCTCCACTCTCCTCCCCACCTGGTACTAGGCCTGGGAAGACGCCTCTGGCTAGAGGAGCAGGTTCAAGTTGACTTGTAGGTTTGCCTGTCATGCTCCTGTGTCAGCAGATGGGATCTGCTACATCCCTTCCCACTTGGTTTGGGAGGCTTCCTGAGATCTTGACCCATTCCCTCTCCCAAGAATGGAAAAGGTCTGGGTTTTAACTTCCAGCCCTGCCCTTTCTGAATGGCTTCCCCTTTGAGTCTTAGATATTTCACCACTGTAAGCCTCAGTTTCCTTATCTGTAAAATGAGTATAATATTTGCCTCACTGTGCTCTTGTAAAGATGAATTAATATGAATATCTCAGAGTCAAAAGAGCGTGCATGGACTTGAGAATCCAATTGACCTGGGTTCTAGTCTGAGCCTGGGTGCTCTCTGAACTTGGGCGTGTTTCTTAACCTCTCTGGGCCTCATTATCATCTATGAATCCAGATGATAATACTCACACATAGGGTTGTTGTGAGGACTAACGTGGTTCTGTGTGTGAACTGAGAGTTATGTGCCCAACACATCAGAGCAGCTGCGCCATGCCTGACACCAAAACAAGTGTTTTATCTGCAGTTTTAGAGAGGTAGAGTAGAATAGTGGTTAAGACATGGACTCTGTCTGAGTTTAATTCCCAGCTCTGCATTCACCAGCTGGGTGACCTTGGGCAAGTTACTTAGCCTCTCTGTGCTTCCATTTCCCCATCTGTAAAGTGGGGATACTTGTACCTACCTCACAGGGTTATTGTGAGAATTACATGAATTTATATCCTAATGTATGAAGTACTTAGATCAGTACCTGGCCTTTAGTAAATTCTATGCTTGTTTTTTATCATTATTGCTCTTCTTTCTGAGGCTTTCGTCCAAATAGGCCATTCTCTAGCTTAGGAAATGAGGTTTAGAGAGTTAAATATCTTTCCAAAGGCACAACAGCTGATAAGTGGTCCAACAGTGGTTGATGTTATTGTCTCTATTACATGGAAGCCCGTAGCGGACCTCGGGGAGGGATGGGGGGCAGGCTTCTGACACCTCTCCTTCCTGCCATCCCCTCCACAGGTTGTCCGCAGCAGCCTAGAAGCACAGGGACTGCGCGTGCATGGTGTGCGACTACATGGCTCAGCTGCCAGCCACGTGCTGCACCCTGAGAATGGCCTGGGCTATAAGGACCTGGACTTAGTGTTTCGTGTGGACCTGCGCAGCGAAGCATCCTTCCAACTCACCAAGGAGGTGGTGCTGGCCTGCCTGCTGGACTTCCTGCCAGCCGGTGTGAGCCGGGCCAAGATCACGCCTCTGACACTCAAGGAGGCATACGTGCAGAAGTTGGTGAAAGTGTGCACGGACACGGACCGCTGGAGCCTCATCTCACTGTCCAACAAGAGTGGCAAAAACATGGAGCTCAAATTTGTGGACTCAGTCAGGCGCCAGTTCGAGTTCAGCGTAGACTCCTTCCAGATCATCCTGGACTCCCTGCTGCTCTTTGGCCAGTGCTCATCCACTCCCATGTCTGAGGCCTTCCATCCAACTGTGACAGGTGAGAGCTTGTACGGGGACTTCAACGAAGCCCTGGAGCACCTGCGGCACAGAGTCATCGCTACACGCAACCCCGAAGAGATCCGCGGTGGTGGCCTCCTCAAGTACTGCCACCTCCTGGTGCGTGGCTTCCGGCCACAGCCCAGCACTGACGTGCGTGCCCTGCAACGCTACATGTGCTCCCGCTTCTTCATTGACTTCCCGGACCTAGTGGAGCAGCAGCGCATCCTGGAGCGCTACCTGGAGGCCCACTTCAGCGGGTCCAACTCAGCCCGCCGCTACGCCTGCCTGGTGACGCTGCACCAGGTGGTCAACGAGAGCACCGTGTGCCTCATGAGCCACGAGCGCCGCCAGACGCTGGACCTCATCGCCACCATGGCACTCCAGGCGCTGGCTGAGCAGGGCCCAGCTGCTGCCGCTGCCCTGGCCTGGCGCCCTCCAGGCCCTGATGGGGTTGTGCCTGCCACTTTCAATTACTATGTCGCCCCTGTGCAGCCTCTGCTGGCCTGGGCCCACTCCTGCTATCCCACCTGGCTGCCTTGTAACTGACTCGGAACCTGGTCAGGAGCGACTGGACCTCCCCAGATGGAGTGGGGCCTCAAGGAGTATGTGGAAGGAATGACGAGAGACAGGCAGCCTGTGCCAGGTGGCCCAGCACTGCTACTGGGTTGGGCCTTAGACTGAACACACCAGACTCCCTGTGGGCTTAAGGCCAAGCCGGAGTTCTTGGCAGATGGACCCTTTGCTTATTGCAGCACATTTTTAGGCCAGCACGATTGTGGGGTACAGGAGCTATTTGTCTTGGGGGTTAATTGCCTTTAGGAGACAAAGCATGTTTGGGGTGGTAGCCTCAGTGTCCATCATCTTGGTTTGATTTCTGTGGCCTAGAAAGGGTCTTATTGGCTGTAGTGCGCCTAGCAGCCTCTGAGAGCCTTCAAACCACACAATGGCTAGAATATGGTACATTATGGGAACTAGTCACTTTGGGTCAGGCTGGGCCAGTCACAGGGCTGGTGGTCCAACCTGGCTAATCACTGGGAGAAGGGAAAACAAGGCATGAGGCAGCTACCTGGAGAGGGATATATTTGGCCCAGTCCCCTAGAACCCCTAACCTGAGCTGTCAAGGTGTGTGGTGGGCAGGAACCAAGTGGGCTGGGGTGGGACACATACATCTCATGACCCTTCCAGGGTGTTGCTTCCTTCCCCCATGTCATGAGGAGCCCTCCTGCCTGGGAGCTTGTTCTTAGGAGGATACAGGGCCCAAAGTGGCCACAGTCAAGTGGTCCCAACCCACTGGCCTGCTTATAGGTTCCTTGCTTGGGGGAGGAAAGCCATGCCCTCCTCCTGTTACTATTTTGCACTCTTACCACCTGCCAATAAAAATCATTTACACTGAGCCTAGCACCATGTTTTATCCTGGGAAAAGGACCTTCCATGCGGGTGCTGTGGCTGCCTTCCCCAGCCTGAGTCTGGCTTATATTGTGGAAGGGGACATTGAGGGGGTGGGTGCGTGAGTCCTGGGCCATTGCTGAGGGAATGCCCCTTCTTCCCTCAACATCAGCCCGAGCTTGACAACTCTGCTAGGAGCTCGTGTCTACACATGTGACTTGTACCTGCACATTGCCTCAGCAAATCTCTTGTTCAAGAGTAAATATTTAAGTGTTTCCCACCTAGAGTCCTAATAACCCTGGACCTGGCCTCACACTGTGGTGTTCAGGGCTGCTTGACCCCATTTCTGCCCATCCTACCCCAATCCTTCCCAGGAAGCAGATGGGGAACAAGTTGGATAAATCCAGACTGAAGACCCCTCCAGTAATGGCAGCTAAAACTGGGGGTCTTCTAGGGTCCCACAGAGCCCGAGCCCAGATTTGGCCGCCTTAGGAGAGGTTCTCTCAATTCTCTGGCTCCCTCTGTCACCCCCAAGTGCCGATGGGCACTGATGAGCACATTCCAACTTGTTCTAAGCAGGTTCCCTAGAGGGACAGGTCTCTCCTTTCCAGACTCACCAGGGGCTATACCAGGCTATCTGGGAGTGAATGTCAAGCTCTAAGGGAGCTGTTCCCTCAGGGCATCAAACAGTCATAGTTCTGGACGCTTCCCGCTGTTTACCCAGCCTCTTTGATCCAGGGAATGCAAAGCCCTTAACATATTCAGCCTCATTAATGGCCTCTGAAGTGGTGGCTTTGATGGTTTCAGCCAGGGTGAAAAAAAACACAAGGGTACAGAGGAGACCCCAGGTCACCTGGGTGAGTCCAGTCACCTCACCTGTTCAGTGGGTCCCTGCTGGACTCAAAATGGCTAGAAGGGTGAGTGGAAAGGCTCTCTTTGCTTGGTGACTAAAACAGCCCCCACCTTCACTCTGACCATGCCCACCCAACTAGGGTCCTGGGAGGGACTAAGTTTGTCCCATCTCCTGATTTGGGCACATAGGGGATGCTCACAGTGTAAGTACAGAGGCTTATCTTGTTAGGGTAGGGAGCAGGCTTCACTGGGATATGCTTGTTTCAGAGGGTGAGAAAGCCAGGAACCAATGCTACATAAGTGTGTATATATCTGCTTTCAGCCCACAGTGAACCAGCTACCCCTCTGGTGACTGGGAATATGTCAGCAAACCCAGGACCAAGATCCTTGCCCTTTTGAAGATTACATTCTAATGGGGTAGACAGAAAATTAAATTATATAGTCTTAGAAGGTTGGCGATGCACAAAAATATACATAACAGGGTAAGGAATTGGAATAGCTGGAGTTTGCAATTTTTAAAAGTCATGGTGGACCTCATCGAAAGTGTGATATTTGATTGCACAGATTTAAAGGTAGTGGGAAGCAAGCCGTGCAGATGTCTGGGGAAAAGTGTCCACGCAGAGGGAACTTACACATGTAAGTTCTGATAATGTACACATGTTCCTGGGAGGCATGTCTGGGGGAAGGCGCATGCTCCTGAGGGTGTCTAGCTGGCCTTATGCAGGTGTATGTGCTTTACTCCAGGCCAAAACTATGCTAAGGTCTTCCCAATCACTACCTCTCATCTTCACAACTCACAAGATGAGCAAGAATTATCTCCATGTCACAGACCAGGAAACTAATGACAGAAAGATCAGAGAAGTTTGTCTGACTCCAAAGCCATTGCTGTTAACCGCTGCACCATCCTGCCCCTACACTCTGATTTTCCATGGATGAGCGTGATAGTATGTCTCCTGTACATACATGTGACAGGGCATGTTGGCAAGGGACAGAATGAGTTTGTATTTCTGTGACATTTGCCATTTTATGTATGACTATGGCAGAGTGTAGCAGTGTGATAAGATGGATGTTTTCCTGATGTACATGTGACAACAGCCACGACTTGTGGTGGCTGTCAGAGGCCTATGGGTATATTCAGGAGTGGTACAGTGGGTGTGAGAGAAACACTCAGTGGTTGACATTGTTCTCAAGGACAATTCCTGCAGCCACCTAAGAGGCCAGTACAGGAAGGTATCAAGAACTGGAAATCACCCTGGGTGGTTCTGCTCAGTGCTTAGAGCACTGGCCCTCAGACTGAAGGATCCCGGGCTCGATTCCAGCCAAGGGCGCCTATCTCGGTTGGGCGCTCAACCCCTGTCCCTGGTCTAGGGGAATGCTAGAGGCAACCAATCAATGTGTCTCACAATCAATGTTTCTCTCTCTCTCCTACTCTCTGAAAAGCAATGGGGAAAAAAATTATCCTTACGTGAGGATTGAAACAAAAAAAAGAACTGGAAATCAAAGAGCCAGACAAGGGAAGGGTGAGGAAGAAAATCCCCCATGCCCCAACCCCACAGTGCTCTCCAAGCAAGTCACCCATCCCTAATGACAACAGCAGGTGGGGAGAACTCCAGAGGAAAAGCATTTCGGTAAACATTAGGGAACAGGAGATATGCCCCCAGGCAGTTACAAATGTGTTGGCCCCTCCAGTCCCACTCTCCACCCTCTCCTGCTCTTTGCCCAGAGGAGGATGATCCAGGAACTGTGCATCAATGACTCCCTTGTTCCTGCCTTCCTGTTGGGTTTGGCCAATGAGAGGCCCAAGCAGGAAACTGGAGGAGAATGGGGTGTTTATTCCCCTGCTCCCTCCCTACAAGGTTGCCATGGTTGACTAGATCTCTTAATCATAGGCCACTACTCATCAGGGACCCTCTCCACGCAGCTGTACTCTCATCCCTTTACTCTCCCCTCCCCTGCCCTTCCCCTTTAGGTCCAGGAGTTGTAAAGCCTTCCCACTTTTGCTATCCCCTGAGAGCTGCACCATCCCTTGTTAGTTTCTTAAGCCCACATCTTTGGAAATAGTCCCTTTTAAGTTTCTGCCCAGTTTGAGTGTGCCCTGTCTCCTGCGGGGACCCTGACTGACGAAATAGGTCCATACAGTCGACAGCACAGTCATATGCTGCCACATTATCATAAACATGCATGACCTCCCTCAGGGTCACACAGTCTCACATGTGCATACCCACCCCTTAGCTTCCTCATCACAGCCTTACTCAGGGAAGACTTCCTGGAGAGGGTCAAGGTCAAGAAAGAAATCAGTCTGCAAATCAGTCAACAGTCCCAAGATTGCCAAATCAAACTAAACAGGAGCTGCTCAAGGAACTGCCAACTTAAAGAGTGGTGACAGACAAAGGAAAAAAGGCAAAGGTACTTGTACAGTAAACCACAAAACCGCATGCAATTGTCTCACAACACTGAAATTTATTCTTCCTAAATGTATGAATCAGGGGACGGAATTCTACAAGTTCTGGGTTGTGTGTGAGTAAATGTGGCTCGTTCCCTCTATTATCAGGATATTTGAATAAATGTGGTTCCTTTTCTCATTTAAAACTTTGCTTAGAATTATGTGGCCACTACCTCTTTTGGAAAAAGAGGTATGTCCCCCCAGGAGCCAAAGCTGATCACCTTTCTGAGGGGCCACAGGCATGCTCCCACAGGGACAGGGCAAGAACAGTGAATGAGGAAGACAGATTTCTCAAACTGGTTTCCCTCAAACAGATTTCCAAGTTGTCAGACTGAGAAGCAATGGCAGCTACCAAGCTGCGTTGTGACTTGTTTAAGAATGATGACTGTTTTTTAAAGAAATCCTTTCCACTTCCACATTGAAAATGTTTGCTGCACTCTTAAATAATCTGATTGCGGCTCAGGGACCTGTGGCAACACTACCAATCATACAGTGTAAGCCAAAGTCAAATGTGGCATACATAAAGAAATTCATAGTATAGGTGACTTCCCCAGAATCCTGTCCCTTGCCTCTGTAAACAAGGTGCTCCTGTGAGGTGGAGGGCTCAGAGTTGTGTAGGGCTGACTGAAGAAGTCTTCCTGAAGGAGGTGCTCAGAGAAGGAACAGGATCCAGGAGTTCAGATCCATAGAGTTGCTGGGAAGATCTGGAGAGAACAATTTCAAGATCTTCAATTACCTCTTTCCCGCAGCCACCCAGCCCCACCCAAACACCTCAACATCTCCTGCCTTAACAGAGGCCATTATGGAGAGAAGGGCCAGGGCAATATTATAGAACTGGGCTCCACTGACTCCCGCCCTGGAAGGGGTGGGAGTTCCTGGAGTAAGCAGAGGTTCCCTTGGGCCTTTGTATTTGGCTGGGATCCCCACTGGTCTGAGCAGCTGGAATGGAATGTTCCTGGGATGAAACGCCTGCCCCTTCCTCCACCTCTCCCCTTATGGAGTTCCCCAGGGCTTGTGATGCAGGGAGAGAGAGGACTGTTTCAGGGATTCCTGATATGGTGATGCTCTGGAGAAGCAAAGGCCCACACTGCCTGGGGCCTATGTCCTGGCAGCCTCTCCTAGACTGGGCAGATCTGCTCCATTCCATGTGTACAGATCTCCACTATGTGCTAAGCACTGAGTGTGACCCCTCATTTAATACTCAGAAGCTATGTCCTCCCTAGCTGCCCAAAACACACACACACAGAAAATACACTGGTTCAACGAGAAGGTAAGTTATTTACCCAAGGTCTCCCAGCTGAGAAGTTCCAGGCCAGGATGGAATCCCAGGTCTGTCTTGTTCCAAGCCTGGGATACTTTTTGCCCCACCATAGATCCCATCCTCCTCTTCCCCTGCCATCCCAGGCTCTTTGCTCTCCTTAGCACCAAATATCCAAGCCCAGGCGTGCAGAGCGGAAGGAGCCCTCCAAGGCAAGCGAGGGCCCTCAGCATAGTTGGCTTGCCCTTGCCTAAAGCCAGGTGTGCTGACTCAGCCTAACTCACCCCCCTTTCCCCCTGAGCCCAGACAACCAGGCTGGAGAACCAGCCTCTGGGGGTGTGCCCAGACCTTAGGGAGGGGCACCTTCTGCTACCCCTCCAGCATCTTATCACATCACTCCCAGAACCAAGGACCAGGGATCACTGAAACCAGATATAAAGGTGAGACTTCAGAAATTCCCCCACATTTACCTGATAAATGAAAAGTCACATAGCCAAATGTTTAAGGGATCTCCCACTTACAGGTTCTATGTCTTTGGGCAAGTCATCTGTGGAAATGGGAATAATAACCTCTACAACCCCTATGTTGCAGAACAGCTGGACTGAAACAGATAATGGGTGTAAAGTGCCTTGCACAGTGCTTGGCATAGAGGAGGTGGTTAGTATATTATTACAGAATCAAGGATTCCCTTCCCCCATGACTCCTGGCCAGGGTGCAGCTGGTCAGGACTAATGGGGGAAGAAATAGGCTGGGGATCTCCCAGCTTTCCCAAACACCTCCTCCCCTGCTGGCTCTAAAGAGCCTCTCCTTCAGCTCTGAGAATCCTGGGCCCCTGGGTTTCTCTCCAGAGCTGGCTGTCAGGGAAAAGGAGCCTCCTACAAACTGCCCATTTGCAGACTTGGAGCACCTGAGCCAAGGTCTGTTGCTTCAGCCTAATCTCTACGAAGCTACCTTGGTCCCCAGGTGGTAGTGGGAGAGGGTGTTCTAATCATTTATCAGTGTAACAAATCTGTGAGAAGCCAAGTGACTCCCGGTTTTTACTCCAATGGTGATCACCAAAAGGGGAAGCCTCTTTCCAGGAGTCTTTCCTGATGGGCCTTCTAGCCAGGCACAGGGACTGGCCCAACCAGAAGTCTTCCTTTGAGCCTCTCCTCTAACTGGCCTCCCCTAACTGCTCTTCTGCCAAACCCTTAAAGCTCAAGGCCTAGGATGCCCCATCACTGCCAGGATTAGACTGGTTGGGGGCAGGGACAATGACAGCGGAGCTGCTGCAGGCTACACCCAGGTGCCAAGGGAAGCAGCCCCACACTGCCCTCTGGTGGTACCACCCACAGACTTGAGAAATGCCCTCACTTGGCTAAGACCAGCCAAGAAAGAAAAGGGGCTTATCCAGGGGATGGAAAGGTTCCAGACTAGAGCCCTGAACTGGTTCCCCAGACCCAGGCATTAACCTGAAGAAAGGCTCCTGTTCCCTCATTTCCCTTTGCTAAGATCCCAGATTCACTGGCGGCCACCAGTGTCCTCAAAGTACAGGTCCAGTCCCCAGAACTGGGGGCCATCAAGAAAGTGTTCAGGAAGTCATGGGGGGAGGGGTCAGTTTCCTGACCACAGGCTATAGTTATTTGTGAAGGCCTAAAAATAGCCCTCCAAACAACACAAATTGCCCAGCCCCCAGTGGGATGGTGACTGTCAGGGAAGGCTGTCTAGAGGAGGGCTGGGAGGCAAAGGACCTTAAAAGCAGAGACCCTCTGGTTCAGAGCTGCTTCTTGAGCCCCTGGACTGAGTAGATATCAATGTTTGTTGATTGAGAAAATGGAGCTTCCCAGAGGAGGCCCTGAGCTGAGGGGTAGTGGGCACAGCACTGAACCAAGAGCTGCGGTTCAAGCCACTGAGTGCTGTATGCACTGGCCAAGGTCCTTGATGAGACACCAGGACCAATCTCCATTTCCTACACATGTACACCACTTTCTCCAGCAAGAATCATCTCTAATTCCCCAACCCCTCCCCCACCTCTGAGTCAGGACAAAGCTGATTATCATTAAATCCCAGAGAAAGGCAAAACTGTGATGGCACAGAGCACTTTACACCATTAGCTAAAAGCTTCTCTGGACCAAGTGCCCTCTTCCATGCAACCCAGAAAACAAACAGTTCTGGCTGCAGCCCCGAGAGGTGGCCAAAGCCCCTCACTGTGTCAGGCCCAGAAAGTCCTTGTCCTTTCTGAACCTCTAGACCCCAATGACCCAAGTAGCTTCAGAAGGTTCTCCCTGGGGAGGCCAGAGGATGCCAGGGCCACCCACTGCTCTCCTGGTCCCCAAGCCCTCCTCTGTCTCTGAGACACCCTCTTGGACTTCCCTTCCCCAGATAAGAATGGGTTCAGGAAATCCTGTCTGTTAGCTGAGAAACCAGACCAAAAGTTTGGTACCTGAAGAAAAGAAGGGCTGATGGGGGAGGGTCAGGGGAGGGCCCCTAGGGCTCTGCCTTTCAGAGCAGTACACCTGACCCTCAGGACTCCAGGACTAAATCAGATTCCCTAGACTCTGACATTCTCATCCCACTGCCTTCTCCCCATTCCCAAGCCCGGACATGAGGAGGGACAGCTATGTTCAGAGAGAAACTGAGGAAAGCAGCCCAAAGAGGGGACAGAGTTGTCCCAGGTCACACGGCAGACAAGCTGGAAACCAGCTCTCTCTAGCCCCTGCCCCTGGGCAGGGAAGAGACACTAGGAGAAGGCTTGGGATCTAGTTCTGTCCCTTTTCTGGCATGTGACCTTGCCACTCTGCAAAATGAGGAATTTAAATTAGCTCCTGGCTCCACCAAGCAAAAGCACTGCCTGTTTCTATGTGACTTTAGAGAATAAAACATTCTTCCATGACTTATGTGGGAAGAAGACAGACATCTGCCCTGGGTTAACCTCACTACAGCCCTTTCTGGAAGTGAAGGCTACAGTCAGCTCAGCTGGTGAGCAGCAAAGCAGCAGCGAGGCCATTCACAGCTGAGTGGGGCAGGGGCAAGGCATGTGGACAGGAAGAGAAGCAGGTCTCATTTCAGGTCTGGCCCTTTAAGGCCCCCCTTTCTAGAAGTCAATGACATACCTGCCCCCTTGGGGCCTGCTGAAAGATGTCACCTGGCTCCATCCCTGGCAGAGCCATTTTAGAGCTGGGGAGGGGGTGTCCCTAGAAGAACAGGTGAGGCTCTAGGCCGTTACCAAACACTGGTTATCTAAGGCTGTACTCTGAGCAAAGCTGCATGAGGCCATGAGAAAAAAAATCTCTCCTAGAAGTGGAAGGGTTAAATATTATGGGGGGAAAATCCTCAATCTCTCTGGGATGCCATCTCCCCAAAGGGGAAACAGGGGCTTAGGAGAGAACTCAGGGGCACATGCCTATACCAGCCCCCACCCCATCCTGGGACCTCATTATTCCGTCTCCCCAGAGGTATGGAGCTAGGTGGTGCCAGAAAACAGCAGCCTCAAGGGCAAGACTCTTCTTAGAGCCCCAAGGGACTTGGGAAAGTCAACGCAGATGCAGGTGCAGGGAGGGGGAGGGAGTGCTGCGTCAGTGCAGCAGGCTCCAACTGGTAAAAGTTTGCTGGCAAACCCTCCCGCAGTCTGAGCACCCTCAATTTGTCCAACTCTGTAATAGGGACTTGGTGCTACCGCCTCACTTCCCAGGTCTGGGAGAGGCGGCAACACTCAGCTTTATTAGGGACCCAGCGGACGCCAGAAGCCCCAAGGAAGGGAGATCTGGGTCCCTGCACCACCGCTCCGCGCCCCTTGGATGCACCAGCCGCTAAGACCGCACCTTAGCCTCCTTTACTGGTCCCCCGGCCGCCCGACTTCTCTTCCTATGGTCGGTCAGTCCATCCATCCGGCTGGAGACGCTGTCCATCCCGCCGGCGTTCGCAATCCT